AAAAATAGAATATGTACTTGCCAAGGAGATATGACAATGAAATAACAAGACTGATACTTTCTTGTGGTTATGGAGTATTATCATCACTTAAGTGACCTTTTGTCATTTTAAGAGATACTCATTTGTTATTTGCTCATCATGTTTGTGTTCATGACACCATCTTGGCTCTGTGTTTTATTAAATATGGAAATCATAAATATTTAAATTCTACCTTAAAAACCTTATGAAATAGTTGAAGGTAATCAGGGAAGAAGTAAACAGTACAATTTTTTCTGAGTTATAGAAGTTAAGTACAATTTGGTTAGGAGAGAAAAGGTAGTGACATTTCATATAAGGGGAGTGGGTTGAGTAAGACATGGAGAGCAGGGTTGGTTAAGACAAGCCATGGATGATGTCAAGATAGAATTTTTTTTTCATTTTCTGAGTTTATTTTTGATACCCTGATAGTGACTAGAGAAGTTTCATGAAGGCATCTCCAGGCAGATGATGGTACTGAAGCTGAGATAAATCAGAAGACCTGAATTTGACCCCTAACCGTTCCATTTACTAACTATGCAATATTCTTTCCACCTGAACTTCAGTTTTCTTATCCATCAAAGTTAATAATACCCATTCCATAAGGCAAAGAGGTTTAAAACAAGACACAGACAGAAAGTAAGTTCTAATGTGTGGTGGTATTATTATATACAACATATTTTTCCTTTTTCGAACTTGAAATCCATCTATTTGTTTTAAAATTCAAATAATATTTTTGGCTTAATGGTGTGTGCATTTCTACAACAACATATTATGAATTCCAGATTCATACAGTTGATAGTTTACTTTAAAAAGTTGAGTTCAAAAGAATAGTACTTTATTTTTATTTTTCATTATAGAATGATGTCAGCTTTTTGCAAAAGTAAGTAAAGTTCCTGAATCACTGAAACTTTACTTCACACATTTTGTCAACTGTTCATATTGGCAGAATTTCTGTGTTACTAGTTTTTTTTAGTGGTTTAGGGTGGAGTCTTACAAATCCAAGTTAGTTTACTGATTTATCAGTGTTGATGCAAATAAACAGTTTGATTAGAAACTCTTTGTAATGGGTGAGCCATATAATTTTAATTACATATATCAGTTAAAATAATTAGGTTTAGTTCTTAATACTCTGAGGCTCTGGTTTTCCATCTGCAAAGTTAGAAAAATGAAAAAACGTGTATGGGTAAAACTTGTAAATTGTAATCATCGAGAAGGTAAAAGAGGGATGGATATGCCCACTCTTCCAGGGTGGTGAAATGAAATACTGGCTGTATCTGTAGACTGGCTGTATCTGTAGACTCTGCTGTTACGTAAGGCCTCTTGTTAATATGTTTCAGATGCTTGAAAGATGGCTTCCTGTCTTTTTAAGGTGAATTCTGTATTAGCCTATAGTCTGTCAGAATGTCCCAAAGATTCCCTCTAAACTGGTGAAAATTGACTCAGCTGTTTTCAAGAGATTTAACAGAGAGAAATAATGTATATAGGTTTTTAATTATTGGTTTTATGATACATGTTTCTTCTTCAGACATATCACATTGGTACAGACCATATCTATCTTGTCCATGGTGATAATCTCAGGATTTAGTATATGCTGGGCTAGATTTCAACTCTGAAATTAGGCCAAAGTCCGCTCGATAGAGGCATTCCAAGTACTTTCCAGTCAAGTGCTTACATATATCTTCATAGATTATTTCTACAGAAGGGTAGTCATTAAGTTATGTTAACTGCTAAGGCTCTCGTCATATCTATGCCATAGGTTGTTAAAGGGAACCTCACCTCAACCCTAAAAGTTGGCAGTGACTATAAAGTGATCTTCTTTGTTTTTGTTTTTCATTTCTGGAATTTTAGTAACTAATGTAGTGAAAAACAAGGAGCCTTGTTTTGGAGATCAAGCCTGTAGAATTTTGTTTTTAAGCGAGAATGTTGAGCAAAGTCTATTTAGTATTAGTGGTTCTTAACCAAAGCATGCAACTAAATTATACTGAGGAACATTTTCAAAATATACAAACTCTGGATCCCATTCTCATTTTGATTGGCTAATTCTAGGGTAGAATATGTTTTCTGATGTCTGCGGGGTTCAGTTAGGCTTTTTTTCCCAACTATAATAATAGATGCTATGATATAATTTAAACTGTGCAGAAGGCAGAAAGTAAATGAAGATCGTACTTCCCAAGATAACCAGTGTTAATGGTTTCTTGACATTTTTCCAGAAACTCTGTGTGTGTGTGTAAGGCTATGTGCCTATGTGGGTGTGTTTTGTCCACAAATGTGCTCATACTATACATACTACTTTGCAGTTATTACTGCTCACTCAGCAATATATACAGTGATATTTCCATATCATCACACGTAAATTGTAGTTGGAATCATTTATTTTTACTCCTGTTGGATGCTTAAGTTATTTTCAGGTTTTCTGTGGGTTTTTGAGCTTGTTTTGTTTGCTTCTATCAACCAGGCTGCAGTGAATTGCCTTGCACAATATGTCTTTGTACACCTCTACCCTTATGTTTTCTGAAGGGTAAATTTTACATGTAGGATTACTGGTCAAAGAATATTTTGATTTTGAAGTTTAATAGGTGATGAGAAATGGGTTCCCCAAAATTGTGCTAATTTGCACTCCTCCTAACAGTATGTGAGATGCTTCTTTCATTACACACTTACCAACCCATTACAGCCTTTTTCAATCTCGTGTGCATGAAGAGGTGATCTAATGCTTGAATTTTCGTTTCTTTAGTTCTGATTGTTGTTGAACACTGTTTCCTGGCTTTCTTATTTTTGTATTCTTTTTCTCTAGACTTCCTCCTTGTATCTTTACTCATTTTGCAACTAGGTTGTACATCTTTTTCTGTTAATGTGTAAAAGCTGTTTGTAGTAAAGAAATTTGTTAAACATGTTTTCCTAATTTATGTCTCTCTACTTTATAATATTTTTTACCATATAGGAATATTGAATTTTTAGTATTCAAATTTGTTTTCTGTTGAGGCATATTTGTACATATTTGCACAATATTTTAGAAAGGCTTCTTATGTATGATAACCATATGTTCCACTTTGCCCCTGTTACCTTGTTTAAATATTAATAGTAACTCCATTCACTCTTAAATATTCTTATTTGAATAATAAATTATATGGTTATCAAATTTAAAGACAATATGAATAAAATGTTAGTAAAACCTACTATTACACTGTGTTTTCCTCAGAATTAAGGAAGAATGCTACAAATAAAAAGAAAATATAAACTGATGGACATGAATAAAGTTTGCCTTAGTGAAATGTTTTTCTAGATTTTTTGTTGGGAAATCAATATGACTTTCTCAAGGATGTGTGTGCAGAATATATCATCTCAGGAAGCTTTTTTTTTTTTTAACCTTTAATTGTGGTCTAACAGTCATACTGAAAAGTACATTAATTATTAGTTTATAAGTCCATGATTTATCACAAGGTAAACATGCCTTTGTAATTACTGTATGTCTCAGAGTTCTTTGTTCCTTCTCCCAAAAGGTAGCTACAATCCTGACTTCTAACATCATAGCTGATTTATGTTCTTGAACTTAATTTTAATGGAATTATACAGCACATACTCTTTTGTGTAAAATTCACTTTTGTGTATAGCAGTTTTGTTCATTTGCATTGCTTTCTAGTACACTAGAGTGTGAATATACTACAACTTATTCTACTATTGATGAAAATATGGGTTGTGTCTGATATTTTGGCTTATTATAACTAATGTTATGAATATTGTAGGTATATCTTTTGATGAACGTGTGCATTCATTTCTCTTGTGTACTCATTTCTAGGAGTATAATTGGGTAGCAGATTATCTGTTGTTAGACAGTTTTCCATAGTAGTTTTGTACCATTTTACACTCCCACCAGCAGTCCACATCTTTGTTAACACTTGGAAATGTCTGTCTGAATTTTAGCCATCATGCTGGATGTGTAGTGGTCTCTCAATATGAATTTATTGTGCATTTTCCTGATGATGAATTATGTTGAACATTTTTCATATTCTTTTGTGAAGTGCCTGTTAATTCTCTTGCCTTTTTTTCTATTGGATTGTCTGCTTTGTCTTACTAATTTGCAAGTGTTCTGTCTGTATTCTGGGTACTGGTCCTTTATTAGTTGTATGTGGCAAATGTCTTCTTCCATTCCCTTAATAGTGTCTCTTGATTTTATTGTAGGTCAATTTATGAGTCATTTCTTTTACAGTTAGTACTTTTGTATATTCTGTTTAAGAAATTTTTCACTGAAATATTCTTTACTGACTCCTGGGTGCTTTGTGATTTTGCTTTTCACATTAAGTCTGTGAACCATCTGAAACTGATTTTTATGTATAGTCAGGGTCCTTTTCTCTTTTCAGATGGTAATGAATAAAACAGTACTATGTTGTTTATTTGTTTTGTTTTTGAAAAGGGCATGCTTAGTGCTCAGCAATATCAACTTTGACAGAAGTACCCATATATAAGTGGGACTTTTCTTCTGGACTGTGTTCTACTCCATTGGTCTTTGTATCCATCATTGTGATGTACCTACCACACCATCTTCTTAATTACTGTAATTTTATAATTTATTGTGTCTGGCAATATAAGAGCACCCCTCTCATACACAGTGTTCTTCAAGTTTGTGTAAGCTGTACTTAGCCATTAGTATTGCATGTACATTTTATTGTTGATTTAAAAAGAAAAAACTTCTAAAGGCAATGGGGAATTATTGAGGGCGAGTGATAATGATCAAAAGTTTTGGGTAAAATTTTAATAATGATAAGGTCGACCCAAATCTAGAGTCCTTTGTTAAGTTTAGAGAATGTCCTTGTTATTTCAGCATTGGTTTTATATTCTTATATTCTCTTGTAGATAATTGGCCTTATTTAAAAAAAAACATGATGAAATAGCATATTGAAATTTCATAGTAAGTTTGTAAGTTCTTTTAAAAAAATTGCAGACTAAAAATACAGATTAATGATCTTGCTGTTTTTATTTTTCAGAACATCTCTGATAAGAGTCTTCTGTTAATTAAACTTTTTCAAGAATTCTGTGAAGGAACCAAGTAGGATTACATCATGTCTTAATCTGAATGAAAGAATAAGAGATAGGCTTTCTCCCTAAATATCATGAAGGGCTGTGTGTAAACACAGACCCTGAGTCAATTCTAATGAGCATTATAGACATGAGTTTACATCGGCAAATGGGTTCAGATCGAGATCTTCAGTCTTCTGCTTCATCTGTGAGTTTGCCTTCCGTCAAAAAGGCACCCAAAAAAAGAAGAATTTCAATAGGCTCTCTGTTTCGAAGGAAAAAGGATAACAAGCGTAAATCAAGGGAGCTAAATGGGGGAGTGGATGGAATTGCAAGTATTGAAAGTATACATTCTGAAATGTGTACTGATAAGAACTCCATTTTCTCTACAAATACCTCCTCTGATAATGGATTGACTTCAATCAGCAAACAAATTGGAGACTTTATAGAGTGCCCTTTGTGCCTTTTGCGACATTCTAAGGACAGATTTCCTGAGATAATGACTTGTCATCACAGATCTTGTGTGGATTGCTTACGCCAATATCTAAGGATTGAAATTTCTGAAAGTAGAGTTAATATCAGTTGCCCAGAGTGTACTGAACGGTTTAATCCCCATGATATTCGCTTGATATTAAGTGATGATGTCTTGATGGAAAAATATGAAGAATTTATGCTTAGACGGTGGCTCGTTGCAGATCCGGATTGTAGGTGGTGTCCAGCTCCAGACTGTGGGTAAGAAGATTTTGTTTGATTTTTCTGGAGTTAATTGTTTCCCTGTGGATAAAATAAGAATCACTATTACTCAAGAGAAAAATCTTAACATGCCAGATAATTCACTCATTCAAAAGGCAAACATATATTGAACACACACCGTAAGTCTGGTGCAATGCTACATCCTAATGGCAGGAATTTTTTTTTAATACAGTCTTTTTTTATTCTTTTTATTTTTATATCATTCATATACAATCATATGAGCAACATTGTGGTTACTAGATTCCCCCCATTATCAAGTCCCCACCACATACCCCATTACAGTCACTGTCCATCAGCATAGTAAGATGCTATAGAGTCACTTACCTGTCTTCTCTGTGCGATACTGCCTTCTCCATGCCACCACCACCCCCACCTACATTATGTGTGCTAATCGTAATGCCCCTATTCCCCTTCTCCCTTCCCACCCACCCTTCCCAGTCCCTTTCCCTTTGGTAACTGTTAGTCCATTCTTCGGTTCTGTGAGTCTGCTGCTGTTTTATTCCTTCAGTTTTTTATGGCAGGAATCTTACCTCATTCAATTTTATATTGTCTCTGCATCACATAATTCATTTAAGATCATTTTCAGAAGAAAAGGATAAGGTGGCTGAATACAGGATCTAGTTGTGGGCAAAACTAATTTTCCCCATCCACTTGGAGAACTTTTAGTATAATGAAATGATAGGAAGTTTTGTTTGTTTTTGCCAGGGAGGTCATAAATTACCCTTTTGAAAAGCACTTTAATACGTGCCACAGTATGTGTTCATGTTTGTACACATAAGTATAGTTGACCCATGAACAACATGGGTTGGAACTACACAGGTTGGCTTATATGTGAATTTTTTAACAAACATTGGAAAATTTTTTTGAGATTAGTGAAAATTTGAAAAAACAGTGGCTTTTCTCTAGACTTATTGTTAGAATATAGTACACAGTACATATACAAAATATGTTATAACTGTTTATGTTCTTGGTAAGCCTTCCAGTCAACAGTAGGCTATTATACAGTTAAGTTTTTAGGGAGTAAAAAGTTATACACAGATTTTCAATTGTGTAAGGGGGTCCATGCCCTAACCCCCGCATTGTTCAAGGGTCAACTGTTCTTTGCTAGTCTTAACATCTAGAGGTCATTCGTCTCATGTTTTTGAATTACAAATACCATTTTCCCAAAATATAAATAATTTTGCTTATATATTTTATTATTATGTTAACAGCAACGTCTGTTTATAGGGTGTTTACTATGTACAGTTGTCAGAAATAGGAAGAAATAGTTATAAGCTCTTAGAGAAAAACAAAAGCCATTCTGAATGTGATTTAGCATACCATTACTAAGCCAAAGATGATCTATAAATAAGAGTTTGGGGAAACCCAGAATTTTCAAGATTATCTGGATATAATCAAAGGCAAGGCTGAAATACAAACTTAATTTATCAAATGAAATTCAGGACTCATTGTCTGAACCAAATCCATTATTAAGAAGCTTGTTGAGTAACAAATTTTTGGATTATGTCTAGTCTATATTCCATAATATTAAATGAGAAAAGTAATGTTTCCTGCCTGTATATATTTCAACTGGTTTTCCCAGGTATCCCTAGAACTTAACTGTCCACCAAGGATTTCTGTGTAATATAAAACATTAAAATTATTACCTAATTATTTGACATTTTATGAATTCATTAGTTGAGTGAAGGACTCAGAGATACTACTTAGTATCAAATTGGAATTTCACTCTCCTGTACTGTAGGGAGCTTGTACTGAAACACATAACATAACAAAATAATATGTTACAGATCCTGGAGTGTGGCAGAAGCAAGCCCTGGAACCCATGAAAGGCTAAACTCTCAATAAAAAGTTGGAATGAAATTAGGGATAATGAGCAATACCTTTAAATAATTTGAGGAAGAGACAGTATCCTGTCAGAAAAAAGCTTAGAAGCAATTGTATCATTCCTCATCCCATGGACCCCTGCACAACATTTCACTGGTGCAGGAATACATACATTCATTAGAAGAGATTTCAAGTTGGATAGCCAATTTTAGGTTAAAAAAGTGTGGGGGTGGGCTTTTGTAAATCAGCAAATACATGTATAGTGAGAAATAATGCCTACGTAGGCATACCTTGCTTTATTGTACTTCACAGATACTGTGTTTTTTACAAATGGAAGGTTTGTGGCAACGCTGTATCAAGTCTACCAGTGCCATTTTTCCAACAGCATTTGCTTACTTGATATCTCTTTATCACATTTTGGTAATTCTTGAAATATTTCACAGTTATTCATTATTATTATATTTGCTGCTGTAATCGTGATGAATGATTACAAATAGCTGAAAGCTCAAATGATCATTAACATTTTTTAGCAATAAAGAATTTTTAAATTAAGTTTACTTTTTTTTTTAGAGATAATGCTGTTGTACATCTAATAGTCTATAGTGTAGTATAAACATAACTTATATGCACTGGGAAACCAGAAAATTAATGTGACTTGCTTTATTGTTTTACCACTTTATTGTGGTGGCCTGGAACTGAATGCATAACATCTTCAAGGTAAGCCAGTATTCTCTTGTGCTGGGTTGATTGATTGTGTCATCATAATGATAATATCAATACTGTCAACTAAATAGAATACAGTAGATAGGGCTGATCCTAGTTTGTATAAGAACTTGATATTTTAAGGGAAGCATGCCAAACTAAGTAGGAAAGGATTATTTAACGTACAGAATTGAGGGGGAAAATTAGATTGTCACCACACATGAACACCTCAAAAAAGAAAATGGAAACAGATTACAGTGGGAATATAACTAAGAGGAGAAAAACTAAAAGAAATAAAGATGAATGATTAATTCACCTATTGCTGTATTATTTATTAGAAATCATTTTAATAAATTTGTAACATAGGAGAAATTCTATTACTTCTAACACATCCTATAGTTAGAAGATCCACTCCTAACTAAACACCTTAGAGAAACTCTTGGGTGCCAAGAAACATCTAGTTTGGAGACATGTTTAAGAATGTTCATAATAGCAAACAAGAAAAAAAATGTTCATTAACAGTAAAATGGATAAATTTAATTTCATGGTTACCTCTTGAGAGGAAGAGGAGGGAATGTGAACTTCAAGGGGCATTCAAGGAACTTCTAAAGCTACTGATAAATAAGGTAACCGCAGTTTATGATTTACCCAGTACAGTTCCACTTCATGTTTATTGTTCTGGTGTTTTTAATAGCATTACCTTTCTTTCTCAAGTGTTCTAGTTTAGGTTGTGAGTGAACTGCTCACTCTACTAATACTGTTCTTGTGTGATAGATACAGGGTTATTCATTTTTTTATTCTTTATAAATCCTTTTATATATATGACATTTCTTAGTAAAATGTAAAAAATTTTTGGAAATTGATATTTTGGATATTTTGCATACTTTAATTTCATTGAGACATTGTTAAAAAGTAAAATGGCTTAGTATTCTAAATATACTGGAGAAGATAAATATTAATTCAAATATAAAATATCATGAAATAATAGAAACACCTACTTTAATCGATTATTTTTATGAAAACAACCACTTGATTGTTATATAAATTTAACAGAGAATTGGTCTGGATTAGTTTGGCTATAAATTAATTCTTGGTTTTGGTGGTTATCAGTAGTCTTATCCACAAGGGACAAAGAAAACATGACATGGAGATGAATTATTTTTATTTTATTACTATGTATTTTCATTTATATTTATGTTGACTGTCTAGATTGTTAAGAGTATATTTAATGTACTTGATTATGTCATAGGTTTTATGGATGTGTTATGTATAAAATATCACCCAGTAACAAAATTTATATGTATACTTTGAATACAGAATACTATATAAAGCCTCATATATAGGCCTGATTTTAAATCTCTGTCCTATTATGTTGTAAGGATTAAGTAGATCTTTAATGTTATTATACTATCATAATTCCTAGCACACAGTAATAAGCTTTTCATAGTTTTGTCATTCCTCATCTCCATTTCTAAAGTTTTACTTGTATTTTTAAAAATCAGACATTCAAGTATTTAACACACCTATGGGCCAGGTTCTGGAAATTTAATAATGAACAAAACATGAAAACCTCTACCCTCTAGGAACTTACTAAATTTTTGGATCCACAAAAGGACGTTTTTTTATTTAAACTCCATTTATTTAAATTTGGCAAAAGGAATACTGGTAAATATCTGACTGACAGTTATTCATAAAATGCTTAACCAGTAGTACTAGGATGATAGGCTTGTATTTAGCCCCTTTAATTTACAACACCATTGAAAGGCTTTTTCTCCAAAAATGCTAAGTGTGAAATTATGAATTTTTCCTTTTACATTTGATGTTTATCAATATGACCATTTTCTATGTCTGATAACAGTTTTACTTCAACGATTAGTTTAACATTTAAGAAATGCTCTCCTTCCCTCAGAGTAGAAAGAAAACCTGACCTGGTTCTATTTGAGATCTCTCAGGGTTTCTAACCTAATATTCTTACCACTCCTCTGAAGGTCAGGGCAGATTAAGCTTGTTTAAAAGACAGTATTTAAAAAAAAAAACAAAGAACACCTTGAGAAAGGGTGTAGGAGGCCAAACCTGTGTGCTGTGATTTAACCAGGTTGACGTTAGCTATATTGCCTCTAGAACATGCCAGTCTACACAGGTTCAGAGAAAAAGCAGACCATGGCTGGGGAGAATAACTGGGGTGAGGGACATGGAAGAAGGGAAGTCTAGAACCTGCCTTGGATAAAAAAATATCTAATTACCTTCTGCCTAGGAAGCCTAGTCTGTACATTGTCTAGGCAGAAAGCAAAAAGTTAAGACTTCTCTTCTGTCAACACAAATTATCCCTGTCATCTTATGTGAGTGCTTCTGACTTTGCTGGGGAGCTTTGAATATATAGGAACATTTATTATATTATAATAATAATTAATGATTTAATGTCTGTGAGCCCCTCAAAGGTCAGGTATTCCTTT